CCACCCCAACACACAGACACTGGAGAGACCCACCCCACTCCACACCCACACACAGACCCCACTCCACCCCAACACACAGACACCAGGGGCCTGACTCTCAGCAGCAGTTTATTGAGCAGCTCAGCTGAACTTGAAGGAGGTGACCTTGAAGTGACCTCTGACCCTGATGTAGGTCAGCGTGTCCAGTCCCAGGTGGTCAGGGAAAAACAGCTCCCGACCGTCCGGCAGCTCCACCTCGAACCCCTGCCCCGTCACCTTCACGGTCAGCTGTGGCAGAGGGCGACAGAGAGCGAGGGTTAGGAATGGTGCGTCACTTCAGCTGGTATCGACAGGGACAGAGGCATTCAGACAGCTACGTCAAGCAATAGTGCAGAAGGCCAGTTCAATCACTGACTGTCAGGACCACACCCTGGCACAGTGAATTTCCATCTGGGTGTAGATTTGAGCTGCCCTAATTCAAGAACAATAGAACTTGTCATCTTTTATTCTCACATTTACTATGACTATACATTTACTTTATATATTTTTATGTTCTTTTTCACCACACAACTGTTAAATGGATTGTGTGTTAAATGTATTTAAGATCAGATCACTTTATTGGCCCTATTCAATTTCTTGCATTAGGAATTTGTCTTTTCCCAGACCCCAGCTTGCTCTCCATGAGACACACAGACAGGGAGAGAAGCTGGGGGTCAGAGCGCAGGGTCAGCCATTTATACAGCACCCCTGGAGCAGTTGGGGTTGAGGGCCTTGCTCAGGGGCCCAATGGAGTAGGATTTCTCTGCCAGCCGCAGGATTTGAACCGGCAACCTTCCAGCCCCAGGCACAGATCCTGAGCCACAGAGCCACTCAATCGTCCCTCTTGTCATGCCTTCACCTGCCTGCAAATCAAATATCCCATCAGGGACAGTGAAGCAAGAGAGAGGGGTCAGCGGCCATGGCTGGGGACTGGCAGGGAGACTGGGGGGTGAGGGCAGACCCCGTCACTCCCGGGAGTGTCTCCCAGGGAGAGTGATGGCGAGAGCGAGGGGTGCTGGGAGAGGAGACTGGGCCGCGAGGCAGACTGCCTGACGGCCCGGGGGGGGGCCGCGCTCTCTCACCTTGACCTCCGCCCCCCTCTGAAAGGGGAAAGTCCGGTCCCTCTGCTCCGAGCCCCAGCTGCCCTCGCGCTTCGAGTTGCACACGATGACCTCGCCGTCCGCGCCGTCATGGAAACGGGGGTTAAAGTGCAGGGCCAGGTCCTCTGGACCACGCCCCAGGTCAATCTGGAACCTGGAGGAGGAGAGGTGGTGATGGGCCTGTATCTGTCACTCACATCGAGTTGGGAATCACTCCTGCACATCATGATCTTCTCCTGTCCACTCTCTGACTTAATGTAGGACTACTAGACTGTAGTCACTGTACAGTGAGACTCCAGTGACTGTACAGTGAGACTGCAGTGTGAGATCACTGGACTGGACTCCAGTGACTGTACAGTGTGAGTGCAGTGTGAGATCACTGGACTGGACTCCAGTGACTGTACACTGTGTCTACAGTGTGAGATCACTGGACTGGACACCAGTGGCTGTTCAGTGAGACTGCAGTGTGAGATCAGTGGACTGGACTCCAGTGACTGTACAGTGAGACTGCAGTGTGAGATCACTGGACTGGACTACAGTGACTGTACAGTGAGACTGTAGTGTGAGATCACTGGACTGGACTCCAGTGACTGTACAGTGTGTCTACAGTGTGAGATCACTGGACTGGACTCCAGTGACTGTACAGTGTGATTGCAGTGTGAGATCACTGGACTGGACTCCAGTGACTGTACAGTGTGTCTACAGTGTGAGATCACTGGACTGGACACCAGTGTCTGTACAGTGAGACTGCAGTGTGAGATGAGTGGACTGGACTCCAGTGACTGTACAGTGTGATTGCTGTGTGAGATCACTTGACAGTGTGTTATTACAGTAAGATCACTGACCTAAGGGCACTGTATCGTGTTTAATTCAAGTGAAGATCCCTAGAGCTATTGTTATAGCCAGCAGGAAAGTCTGTAATGTTTTTATGGAGAACAGAACTCTAGACAGTTAATAATAATCTGTAACACCTGCTCACCTCTCTGCATCCTCCAGTATCTTCCCCTTGATCTTCAGCTTGTCCCCAGGCCTCAGCTCCATGTTCTTCACCTCAAACTCCTGCCGGGGGTTCGGACACACAGTTACCAATCAAATTAAACAATTAAGAGCTGTCTAATCAAAAATATCAGCCAGCAAATTCTGGAGAGACATCAAGAACTCCTGTGTGCGGGGCTGTCAGAAGCAGTGCCCCTGAAGTCGGGTATTTCTGACATTCGGGACTGATGGGAAAAAAACAAAAAAGTTCAATAAAAGGCTTAAATACAAGCCAGCAGATCAACTGGGGTTGGCTCTGTGGCTGAGGATCTGTGCTGGGTGCTGGAAGGTTGCCGGTTCGAATCCTGTGGCCAGCAGAGGAATCCTACTCCGTTGGGCCCCTGAGCAAGGCCCTTCACCCCAGCTGCTCCAGGGGTGCTGTACAACAGCTGACCCTGTGCTCTGACCCCCAGCTTCTCTCCCTGTCTGTGTGTCTCATGGAGAGCAAGCTGGGGTCTGTGAAAAGACACATTCCTAATGCAAGAAATTGTACAGGGCCAATAAAGGGATCTGATCTCTCTTAACTGAGTCATCAAGCACCACTGGGGGACCAGAGCTCAGCTGGAATGACAACCAGTAGAGGCAGGGTGACCTCCAGTGGCTCAGAAGCTGTCCTGCGCAGTTCCTGCTCTTTTCCCTAATGCCGGAGGTCCTGTTTTGAGAAGCACTGCTGTGCTGCGTCAGGCTGGAAAAGACCCTTTTCCAGGAGACACAGACACAGGCCTGTGCTCCTCAGGCTTCAGAAAGGGTCCTGCCAGTTCCACACAGCCTGTGTCTCTTCACCAACACTACAGCTGGGCGTGCAAGGCCATATCATGGGCGATTTCTTGAACTTGAACTTTATTGCCATATGTAACCGGTACTGGTACAATGGAATTCTTTCTTACAGAAAGTCTCTCGATTGTAAAACAAGTGTAAAAAACAAAACAAAGTGCAAACAGTGCGTCAAGACAATGTACAAACAAACAGTAGACAATGTGCAAGTAAACATGTAGACAGTTTGAATGTAAACAATACAGACGTGTAAACAATGACTTGAGATGTGCAATAGATAAGAAATCATAAAGAGGTAGATGGTGATGGTGTAGGTGTGGTTCGAGGGGGATGGCTAAATATGTTTGCCAGTCTCACTGCTTGTGGATAGAAGCTATTGAAGAATCTAGTGGTAAGTGTCCGTATGCTCTTATATCTCTTGCCTGAGGGCAGTGGGGTGAAGAGCTCATGCCCGGGGTGGTGACTGTCCTCTGTGATGGCCAGAATTCTACCACGGCAGCGGTCCTCGTAGAGCTGTTTAATCTCGGTGAGACCGCAGCCGATGATCTTCTGGGCCATATTGATCATTCTCTGCAGTGCCTTTCTTTCTCGCGAAGAGGTGTTGCCATACCACACGGTACGGTGATCCCGTTGGCGAGGATGCTCTCGATGGTGCAGCGGTAGAAGTTCACCAACACATGTATTGGCATCCCCCATCGCTTGAGGCACCTCAAGAAATAAAGGCGCTGCTGAGCCTTCTTCATGATAGAGTCAGTGTTCACAGTCCAGGTTAGATCTTTAGAGATGTGAACTCCCAAAAACCTAAAGCTGGTGACTGTTTCCACTTCCGTTCCATCAATACTGAGTGGGCTGTGAGTGTATGGCCTGTGTCTCCGAAAGTCTGAGAATTTCCCTCACGGGATCAATAAAGTATCTATCTATCACAATGGGAGACCGCCAAGTACACCGAGCCGGCTGTAATGTGCACGTAGAGGATTGGTATAGGCGCTTACCGACATGCTGTGGTCTCGGATCCAGAGTCAAGAAGGGCCGTTTGTGCTGATGTCCTCTGTGGGAGAGAGAGGAATGAAGACTGTTGCACTTCTTCAAGCAGGAGAGCGATCTGCAGAGGTGCTCTCTCTCTCTCTCTCAGTGTATCTCCTGAACCTCTTCCCTGCCTCTCCCCCAGTCATTTATTAACAGACCTCAGCAATTACAGGACAAGGGTCACTGAGCCTCTGGGTGTGTAGTTCCTGCTCTGCTGTCCCTCAGCACAGAGCAGTGACTCTCAGACTCACGGTCTCAAGCTGGCGATGGACAGGGAGACTGGGAGCACTGGGAAACACCCATCAACGGGCAAACCAGCAGATGAACTGGGCATTGACAGACTGTCACACTGTCAGCCTGACTGACTGACACTCCCCTAGACTGACACACTGACTGATTAACACACTGTCAGACTGACTGACACACTGACTAACACACTGAGTATCTGATACACTGTCAGACAGCCACTCTGACTGACTAACACACTGTCACACTGCCAGACTGACTGACACACCTCCAGACTGACTCACTGACTGACTAACATGCTGTCACATTGCCAGACGCACTCACTGAGTGGTTTGACTTTCTTCATTCACACAGGTTACAGGCGCCTGCGTGTGACTTTTCACAGCAGCCTCCCGCAAGGCAGAGGTCGATATGAGCCAAAGAGCCAGAGAGCGATAGAGAGAGAGAGTGGGTGTGATTGAAAAATCAATTCACACCCCCCCAGCAACTTCAGACAATGCCTGTGAATCAGGCTGTGCCAGGCTGTGCCAGGCTGTACCAGCTGACCGCTGACTCACCCATCACCATCTTCTGCTGACCAGACAGCCCTGCCCCCATGCCCAGCCCAGCGCTGGTGGTCAGTAATGACAGATCAGGGCAGGTTGGCCCACAGTGCCCAGTGTGCAGCATGTGTCTCTGTGTGTGAGTCTGGCTGGCTTTTACAGTACTTGGCAAAGCCATAGCCTTACATTTTCCTCTGTTTTCATTCATCCCGGATCTGAAGGGTGAGTTTGCACACCAGAGGCTACGTTGTGAGCTCGTCCTCGCGCAATCCGTTTGAAGTTTGGGAACGACCGGAAAACCCTTCCCTGTCACCAGCTGCCCCGGGATCAGGATACCGGGAGGCAACCCTAAACCAGACCAGTGTCCAATACACGCTGAAAAACTTGTCACCGACAAGTCATCCCTCATCTATCATCGATCGGTGTAACCAGGCGCCAGGACATTTCGAACGATGCCCTTGTCCGCGCGCAGATGAGTGGGTTACCGCAGCAGCAGAGCAGGAGCAGGTGGGGAAAGGACAAGCTGAGCTGTCTAACAGCCCTCCATGGCGCTGAGAGATTCAGACGTCCCGCCTGATTCTCCACACAGCTCGGGAACACTGACGCCAGCTGTCCCTTGCTGTGCGCAGCCCAGCTGCCTTCCTCATCGGTGCGCCAGGCGCCACAGTCACAGTTAAGCCTTTCTCTTGGGAATTCCTCTGGAGGATAGATGTTGTTAGGTATTTTAAAATGATTGTCTTGAGTTTTTGGCGGGCTGGGAAGAAAACTGCACGCGATCTTGCCCTGACGAGAGACTCATCATCTCTATCATCAGAATGTCCTTGCCCTCTGATGAAGGGGAAAGTTCTCTCAGTCATGCTTTTTCCAGATGTGTTTATATTATCACATTTCCTACCCCAGATGTTAGAATTCCCCTTCTTGACCTCAGCTAAGATTGGAAGTGTTCACCAGAGCCAGACATGCAACTGGATTGGAGTCTGTGATTTCTTCAGATTGACACCTGTCAAACTCACCTTTAGCTTCTTGTAGAAGCAGAACCTACCAGATACCCCTCTTCCACCTAGAACGTAACGCTCACAAAGTGGACAATGTTCTAGCTTTACTCATTTGATGTTGTTTTTTATTGTTGTTTTTCAGTGTCTATATGTAGGAACAAGATTTATTTCGGCTGTGGAGCCTCCTTCAAGTGCGCGTGTGTCTAGATTAATTGCCCGTAATTGCTGTATTTTCATTTCTGTAGTAATACATTTTAAAAACACTCCGGGTGTAATACCACCTTGCAACAGCAGAGGTCACCCTTTGGAGGCTAGACGACTGTGGGGGGGGGGGGAGAGAGTGGAATTGTGGGATGCTGGAGGGAGCAGGCGGAGGATGCGGGTTTTTCCGGTGTTGGCCCGGAAGTGACGCGTTTAAACAAACAGAGCCCAACCTGTGTCGGTAGATGCAGGTGGACGGAGGAAGAAGGGATCGACGTGTCGATGAATCAGGAGAGGGGGATAACCTGTGTGGAAAATTGGGACGAATAAACACACTCGTTTGCTTGACCTGTTAAAAGCCCCGGTTTGCCTCGGGCGCGCCTGAAACCTAAAAGGTAAGAGAATTCCAGTATTATCGCCGATGTTAATTCTGTGGGTAATTATTTATGTATATGCGTCTGCATACACATCGCCTGGCTAGATACACTCGTCCGGTGGTCGAAACGCAAATGATGCGATTGCATCAAAAAAAACTATACATCTCTCCCTCCAAGCGGTTGACGGTAAGGGTGTGATAGGCACAGTGAAACGATGTCAGCTGTCAGGACGCTGCACTGTCCGTAATCGATCAGGGGACACCGCACTGTCGATAAGCGATCAGGTGGGCCGGCGCGGTCAGACCCGCTGGGTGTTCCTGTCGCTCGCATCTCATTTGTGTCCAGGCAACAGTGCGAATGGATCATCCCGTTGTCACAGCAGCTCCCGAGGATCTGCACGGATCTGTCGACACCCGGCTCCAGCGCCGCTCCTGGCAGGTGTCGCGTTACAGCGCGGAGGCGCTAGGGG